AGGTTTTCTGAAAATATTGTATAAGGAATAGGAAAATCTTAATACACATGTTTTAAAATTTTTTTTAAAAATTTGTATTTGTTTTATTATTACTGTATAATTGTAAGAATTACTATTTTTATTACAATTATTATAAACTATTATTTAACATAAGTGTTATTTTAAAAGTATCTTTATTGTTAAAAAGCATATTTGAAAACAATAATAATAATAAAATGTTATTTATCCCTTACTTTATTTGATTTATCTGTAAACTTATGATAAACTTTTAAATCTTTTAAAAATATTGTTGAAGTATTGTATATACATTATATTATTGTTTAGTTGTAAACTGTATACCAGTGTATAGTATATTATAAACTGGACTTACTTTAAATGGATTAAGAAAAATATTTTTAAAAATCACTTTTAAAATATTCCAGTATTAAAATAATACACAATCGTATCAAATAAATTACTTTAAAAACAAAAGTACTTATAAAGTGTTATTACAGGTTTATAAATTGAATAAAACAAAATCAGAAATATTTTTTTGTAGTATTAAATTCAAAATTATTATTATTATTTACAAATAGAAATATTAAAATATTAAAAATTATTTATTATTTAATTAGTTTAATAAAACTTGAAACAAATAGAAAATGAAATATATAACAAACTAAAATTTATTATTTACTAATAATGTAATCGGTTTTAATTATTAAAAATATTTTTATTTGTTTTAATATAAAATTTTATTTAGAAAACAATAACAAAAATATTTAATTAAATGTTACTATAATAATAAAATAGCTATTAAACTATTGTGTAAACTGATTGATGTAAGTAATTGATTGCATTAATTAAAGTGTGATTTTAATATTAATTCTGTCAAAAAATATTATTTATAATCTAATTATATATTATTTCAGTAAATTATATCAGAAATATCTCTTATTAATGACAGTCCATATTATTTGTGAGTTTATTATTATTTCTTTATGTAAGCCAATAGTGTAAATCAATAACAATTTGAATGTTTAGTACAATCTATATAAAACTTAATGTAATTTATTATATAACGTCTAAACTGGAGCCCCAAGAATAATAATATTTAGTAAATTTTAAATAAAATAATTTTAAATATTATTTTAATTAGAGTATTAAATATATTTATTGCATAAATATTTAAGTATTTATTTTTTATTTTTTAAATCTTATTTTATTATTGATGAGTAGTTTTTTATAAAGTAGTGGAAAAAAATTAATTTAAAAAAAAATATTTTATTTTTTAAATTTTTTTAATGATCTTTAATGAAATATTATATACTATTTACATATAGATTTATATGTGTGTTAATATTAACAATAAAAAATACTTTTTCAAAAATTTATACAATGTTAATCAAATGAATTTGTTGAAAATAACATTGTGTTTTTAATGTATGTATAATATTTTCAAAAATAAACTTTCAAAATAGTTTGTTTTCTGAATGTATATTTGTGTTGTGTCTGTCTGTCTGTCTGTTTGCAGAAATAAATACTTTTGTTATCATATGACATATGGACTAATGTTTATCAATAATGTACATTTTGTTTACACTACTACTCATACAAATTAATGGTTATAAAACACTAAACATTTTAGTAATGCATTTGTGGAGTATTAAAATATTTATAGTAAATAATTTATTTTATTTAAGATTGTTTTTGGGCTAACCTTTCTAGTATTCTCAACCAGTTATACTTATTTTAGAAATTAACAAAAAATAAAGTATATATACAATAGATTTAATACTATAAAATAGTTTTAAGTAAAAATAAATTATGAAATTATAATTAGCAATTAAAACTGTTTTATTTGATTAATATAAGTAATTTTTATTTTATTTATTTTTATTTTGTTTGAATAAATTCTATTTTCCATTTGATTTAACCTTTCATATTGTTAATTACTACTAATTTTGATTTATGAATATTTGTATTTTTGAATTAAAATAGCGGTATATAAAAACTGAGAAAAGAGTCAAAATAAATAAATAAATGTCAAAAGAAAAGGCTAAAGGGTTTTAATGTTTAAATTAGATTTTTCTGATGTTTTTTAATTTATAGAGAATATGATAAATAGATATTTTTAAATATATTCCCTTAAGAAAAATTCACAGTAATATTATACTATGAAATCATCATATTTATAGTTATAGTAATACTGTACATACAGTAATGTTACATAAGATTCCAATATATAAAATTAATATAATAATTTAATTATAATTATTATTTTTAAAATTTTTATTTCAATTATATTTTTAGTTTAATGTAATTAAATGTAATTAATTATTTATTTTAAATATCAATTAAGATACCAATAATAATATTTTGTTATAATTTATTTCTACAAGATAACAAATATTGAGAGTATAAAATTAACATGGACATTTAATATACAAAATTTTTTGAGAAACATTCTATAAATTTTTGTTTTTTCCAAACTCTATATATATTTAATATTAAAAAATATACAGAATTTACTGTATTTACTGTATTTACTGTATTATAAAAATATTCAAATTAATATTGCACATTCTATTTTTTCAATTATTTATGTTTTAAAAATTTTGTATAATTTGTTTGTGTTATGAATTTAAAATCATAATATTATAATATATATATATACTGTATTAATATAAATGTGATGAATACATATAAATATTAGCATTTATTAAAATATACAAATTGTTTACAAAAGTTAATAATAAAAAACTATTAAGTAAAATTAATGTACAAATAATTTTATTAAATAATATTTATTATTTTTGTATTTAAAATTTACGTATAGTAATTGTAGTTTGTATTACATATATTTAAATCTAATATTTAATTTTATTTTTTTTAATAATATTTATTATATTATTACATATTAGTTATCATAATTTATACTAATATTTTAGAAAAGTATTAAATAATTAAAAAATTATTAATCTTATTATTTTATTGCTAATAATATATATTTACTTTTAAACACTTAGTTAATAATTTATATAAAAATTGATAATAGAATAATTTTTAGTTAAAATAAGTTCATTAATTAAAAAATAATAATAAATAATACTATTTATTTTATTTTGAGTTTATTTTATACTAAAAATTTTTAATTTTATTTTCAGTACACTATGAATACAATAGATACAGTTACAAATTAAATAAATATTTATTTATTTTATTATACAGAATTTGATAATATAAATACAATTTATTACAACATAAACTAATAAGATATATTAGTAAGATATAATAATATAATTAAATTATTTATATATATAAATATATATAAATGTGAACTTTATTTATTTAATAAGAAAAGTTAACAAAACAAATTTGAATATTTAGATTAAATTGATTTTATTGTTAATATAAAATTAAATAAATTTTCAAAAAAATAATTGAGTTGTAAAATTAACAATAATAATAATAATAAAATCAATTGAATAAAGCAAATAGTTTGACCAATTTTGTTAAACAATAAAAACAGGAAATGTAAAGTCAATTTACATTATAATAAAAATTAAAAAATATATATTAATAATATATTAAACATGTGTACAAAAATTATACTAATAAATAACAATATGAAAAACATTACATAATTAATAATCTAAAAATAATATACTATTAGTAATAATAATCATAATCAGGTTTTTTTGAAATAAATAAATAAATAAAATATATATAGCTTATTTAAAAATATTGTAGAAAAAAATAAATATTTTAAATTTTTGTTATTAATTATTATCAATTTAATAATTTTAAAACTTTCTTACAAATGCATATCAAATTTTCTATCATGTTGAATTATTTGATTAATAAAATTTAGCTTCAATTATTTTATACAATTATTTAGTTTTATTTATTTTATATATTATAATTATTTCAAATTAGACTAAATGCCCATGCGTTATATTATACAATACTATATGATATAAATGAAATAAAATACAGTTCTATACTTTCACTTTAAATAGCATAGCGTTTACATTAAAAAAAGATAAACTATAAATATATATATAAACATTAATACAGTATATTTATTGTAATTTTTCAAATATAATAATTAATTATTTCTAAATTAATTTATTTGCATTAACTTATTGCTAATATTAGATATAAATATCATGATTTTTAGTTTATCAATTTAATGTTATTTTTGAATATAACAAAAAAAAAGTCTAAAGTATTAATACAACACTAGTTTTGATGTAGATGTTGTTCAATAATATTGTATCATTTATATACAATTTATACAGTAGTGTATATATATACCTGTATATATATACAGATCTATAATTATATAATACCCTACGTTAATGTATAATACAAGTATAACAAGTGATATCAATGTTAGACTCGCAGTTAACGGTAAGTGTTTGATGTGCTAACATATATCTCTTTTATAAAATATTTATTTATATAAATTTGATTTAAAATAAAATTAATAAACTATATGATTATAAAAATATGATTTTTTTTGTTTTTGTTATAAAACAATCAAAAATTAATTGAATTTTGAAATCCATGTTTTTAATATATATATTTTTCTCAATATTTTTTTAAAAATCTATATAAGAATATTCTGTTATATAAGCATTTAACTACTGTATAATATTTTCTGTAGATAATTGTATACTTAAAAAAAATAATTTTTGTTGTTTTATTGAGTGATATATTGAATTTATATATAATTTTCAATTTATATATATAAATAGTTTATATAAATTCAATACTTATTATACTTTAAAATTTAATATTAAAAATACAACTGTTTTATTTATTTAACTGATACATCTTATTAATAATATTATTTTTTTAAAAACTTTTTAATAATACAAGTGATATATTTAATTTAGTAAAAATATTAATATTATTTCTATATATTCTTGAAAAATAACTTAATATTATTCTCTTAGAAGTTTATTAACTAATAAATAATGTATTTGTATTGAATAATATAGTAAACTAGCAAAATGTCACAAAGTGTACACAACTTAAGCTACCTGTGCGACAATGAAACAGTCGATTTAAAACATTATTTGTCTATGAATTTAACAATACATGAAATAATTAAATTAGTTTGTCTTGAAGATGAAATCCCCGATGAGTTTACTGAAAACACTATTATTATTACTGTCTATACAATGATAATAATGATATCCCTTTTTGGCAATTTGTTTGTCTTGAAAGTTACATTTAATTTGCGGACCACAACAAACTTGTTGATAGCATCCCTGTCCATTTCGGACCTAATAGTAACCCTATTTAGTATACCGTTTAACGTATCGCGATTGATAATGGACGAGTGGCCATTTGGACAGTTCATGTGTTTTATGGTACCGTTCCTTCAAATAATGGCCGTTTATGTATCCAGTTTTACAATGGCTGTGATAGCCATATATCGTTGGCGATCAGTTAGCTCTGTAGTACCGGTGCAGTCCTGGTCACGACTCTATTTGTTGGCAACAATTATAGGCACTTGGATTTTGTCGGCCATAATGGCTATACCTCTGTCAATGTTTAACAAAATACAAATCGTTGAGTCGTATAAACCGGTAACGCGTTGCAGGAATTTATATCCCGATTCCCGACACAACATATCATTGATGCTAACAATTGAAGTATTTCTAACACAATATGTGATACCACTGTCGTGTGCCGGCATTATTGTAAGTATTTAAGTCTTTAAATAATTTATTTAAGTATTTACTGTATTTATATTAATTATATACCAATTATATTTATATTATATTTATTCTATATCAAAATTAATGCAATTTTTAAAATGTTAAGTTATATATCATTTTTAAGAAATTAAATAATTTATATTATATAAGCACTATATATTATATTATAGTGCTTATATAATATAAATTAATTTGTATATAACTTAACATTTTAAAAATTGCATTAATTTTGATATAGATTAAATATAATATAAATATATAGTAGCTTTTAAAAAATGACAACCCTGTAAGTATGCTTTAATTAATGTACTATTTATACGATATATAATTATTTTTTTATAAAATAAATATGAAATAATATTTGAAAAATATACAATTAAAATAACTCATTTTTATACTGTATTTGCTAAAAGTCAATAAAATTATAAATGTTTTTATTTAAATAATTTTAATTTACAAAACTTATTCATTAGTAAAACAAAATTATTGATGTTTTTCAAAATAATTTATTAAAAGTTTGTTGACTGTTTATATATCTTATATAAAAAACATTTTCATATAATTTCATATCATTATAATTGTTCATTAATTATTATAATTTCATAAAATATTTCATTTTTGCAAATCAACGTAGATTTTGAAAAAAAACAATTAAACACTTAAATGATTTAAAAACTAATTAGTTTGAACTTACATTGAGTTTGCACCCACACTTTTTTGTAGTTATTTTTTTGTGTATAATGTTTGTTTCTATATTTAATTCAAAAATCTAATTGCAATAAAAGCTGTTTATATTAGTGACAATTTATCGCATCATATATTTTGTCGATAGTTTTTTGTTAACAAAAACAAATATAACTTTCTTTTACTTATTTAAATAGTATTAATATTAGTATTATTCGAGTCATTAGATATATGTTTTAGTAAACATTTAATAAAAATAAATATATAAGTACTGATTTATTATTTAATATATAAATATTGTTATTTATTTTTTAGTACAAAAAAATTGCATATATAATATCACAACAAGGAATGATGCTTAACTCTAATTCAATAACAGGTAATAAATTTTTAAAAAAATAAATAAATTATTATTAAATATTTTTGCTAATGCTTTTTAATACTATTTTAAATTAAAGTTTAATGTACGAAATTACGTCACAATTTATTTAACTTTGTAATTATAGTATTAGTTTAAATATAGCAAAATTACTTAAGTATAAAAATTTCCTTTAATAAAGTAATTATTGAAAACTTTGAATTGGCTTAATTTTATTAGTTGATAAATATAAAATATATTTTACAAAATAATTTTTAAACTTAATTTACAATAAAATATATATATACATAAATATTAAATTTATTATTACTGATTTATATTGTAATTATAAATAAAATAGATATATAATTCAAAGTTAATGAATAAAAACAAAATTAATTTTATTAAATTATGAATAATTATAGTTATATTTAATAAGACTGACTGTATATAAATAGTTTATAACACAAAAAAATAATAAATATGTTTTTTAAATAGATTTGAGTTAAATTGCTTTTAAAGTAAACCATAATATATTTATAATACTGTACTGTATATGTGGTAACTAAAAATAATAATAATTAATTACCTTAGATTTATTATAATTTAAATATTTGTGAGAAATACAAAATTACCAATTAATAACAAACTTGATTTTCTAGATTTTGTGTGTTTTTAAAAAATACTTGCAATTTAAATTTTATAAAAGAAACTTTTTTTAAAATTTAATAAAATTTATATTTACTTTAAACATACTTTATATTTATATAAATATATTCTTATATTTTGTTTTATTTAATATAAAGCATTTTTAATATAATTTAATGAAATCTTAGATATTTAAAAATTTTTGCATTTTATATCTTTATATACGGTATATATATATTAAAAAAAACTTGAAATATCAATTTATCTACATTTAACCCACTATAGTTTTAAACATATTTATATAAAAACAAAATTATTTAGATATTTTTCAGCTATTTGAAAATAAAATAAGAAATAGTTTATTATTTTATTTATTTTAAATGCAAATCATAAAAATTCTCTACAAATTTCTTTTATATATATTTAATAAAAACATATTGTTTATGATATTTATGTAGTAATAAATATAAAAATAATTTTTTTTAGTTTATTAATAAAAAAAATTATTTTWAAAGTTTCTATAATTATAAAATACTAATGTAAATCTATTATTTAATAATTAAGCAAATTTAAGTTAGACAATAATACGTATTTAAACAAAAATAATTTTATTAAATATAAATTATTTTAACATATGTAATTTATAATACAGTATAAAACATGTTCAAGTTTAATTTTTACTTAAAAACGATTGAATGATTTACATAAGCATTATTATTATGATAATGATTTTATAATATTAAATAGTATTTATATAAAAATATGACTATTTAAAGATTTAAAGATTATATCAAATAAATAAACTAATATTTTAATCTTATTAAAATTTGACTATTCAAAAAATATTATGAAATTATATGTAAATTTAAATAGTTTTAATAAATTTTTCAAAAGATTTTTTTGTTTTATTTTTTATTAAGATTATTAAAAATATTTTTAGAATTTTAATTCTCTATTTTGTTTAAATAATTTATTTACAATTTTAATATATTAAAATACTGACCGCAATAACTTAGTATTTTTGTTTGTTTGTGTGTTTTATTTCTATTATATAAAAATTATATTAAATAAATAAAAAAAATTATTGAAATTATTATTTTTTTAAATATTAAAAACTATACTTTAAATTATTTTTTAAACATATAATTATGAAAACAGATGGACACGAAAGTATAGATCGGTCTGAAAGGAAACGCCGACGCATTTTGATGTTAATATTGGTTGTCGTCGTGTTTGCCATTTGTTGGCTGGTATGACATCTTTAATTAAATTAAAATAGTTTTTATAAATTTTTAAAAATTTATTTTACTATTTATATAAATTTATATATCTTTATTAATAGAAAAATACAATAATTTTCCGTTATATTTAATCTTATTTTATTTATATTTTTTAAACAGCCGATTAATTTTTATCATTTATTGGTTGATTCGTATCTAATGACACACAACTATAATCTATTTGTAATCGTAAGTATAAAACTCAGTTTAATAATATGATATTATAAAATTAATTTTATAAAAATATATTTTTAAAAATTTTAATACTCACTGTTTAATATAAGTTTATCAATAATATTTTAAAAATTATTTATAGTATTGTATTGTAATGCTTTGAAACTTAACAATTATAACAGAAATATAATATAATAATAATTTTGTATAATATTAATATTTTAAAGTGTCAATATAAACTATTATTTAATTTAAAATATAATTTATTTATTAATTTTTGTTTAAATATCAAATATTATGAGACACTATTATATAATTTTTTATTTAATAAATTAAATTTCGATATAAATTATTATATATTATTTATTTAATTGTTCAAATATTTAATCATTTTATTAGTGTCACTGGTTTGCAATGTCATCAGTTTGGTTAGTATTTTTTCAAACATATTTCATATGAAAATTTTAATAAAAATTAAAAATTCAAACAAATTATTTGATATATTTATGCTATAATTGAAACTATAGTTACAATCCATTTATCTATTGTTGGCTGAATCAGTCATTTCGGGCAGAAATTAGAAAAATTTTTAGATTTTTATGGCCAAACATGTGTCGCCTACCGAACACTAACCGTTCAAATGATATTAATATGGATGATACAGACAGGTCGTCCAATAGTAAACATATGGCAACTGTTAGTAATATAAATCCAAAAATCACTATTGAATTGGATGTGTTGTATATCGAGACTAACACTGAAAACGTTACGTCAAATTCATTGATTCCAAACAATTAAACATTTTATTAAATTGTTTCCGTTTGAGACAACAATTTAATATAAAAATTTATAATATGTTCATTACATTTCTATTAAATAATATAATTTCTATATTATCAATATTATATACAGTATATAAACTTTGCATATTATTTTATTAATAAATTTTTATTAAATAAAATGTTTTATTTTTAACTGATTTGTTAATATTTTATATTTGTATTATATATTATATGTAATTTACATAATATTTTTATTTGTTATTTTTGAAAAATTTTATTATAGACTTAATTTACAAATATTGTAAATTAGTGTAATTAAAAACATATTTAAACTATCTTTACATAAAATGATAAATTAAACTTATTATATTTCCAATAAAACTAATATAAATTGTAATTACAAAATTTTCTTAAATTAAATTGATTATATTTTCATATCTGTAACATACAGAATATGTTTAAACATAAATTATTTAAATATTATAAATAAATTATGAGAACTAAATTAATATTATAGTGCATTATATGATAATATTTAAAAACAAATATAAGGAGTGATTCACATATTACTTTCGGGTGGGAGGTGTCGACAAAATATAACTTTTCCAAACGAGAAGGACAAGGGTAGAGACCTTAAGATCAATCGAATTTAAATAATTTAAGGAATTTAAGGGTTATTTTTATCATAGTTTATCTTTTGATAGAAACGGATTGAATATACAGTATATATATATATATATGATTTTTGAATAGAAATAGTTTTATTTCCATTTTTTGCAATATTTTTAAATTGAAAATATTTTTATAAAATATTCATTTAAATCATTATTTTATTGTTGAAATTAATTGATGTTAAACTCAAAACTTTCGTATTAATTTATATGAGGCCTTGATTTTAATTAAATTATTTATAAATATAGTGGTATTTTATTTTATTTATTAATGATGTGAGTTATTGAAATGGGAACGTAAATTTTTAGGATAACTACATGCGAACAATTTCAAACATAAGGGAGGGATGGGGTGTATACTTCTTTAAAAATGTGAACGTAATATTTGAATTACCCT